ATATAAAATTTAATTCTATAGTAAAAATTAAAAAAAGAGAACAGAAATCAATTATGATAAATACTAAAGTCAATTAATGCTAAGTATGTGGGTGTGTAAAAATAAACTTTCATTCTTATTTATATAAAATACATCGGTTAACCTTAGTGAAGGGTATGGATGTATGTATGTATGTATGAATAATTTCATGTATGTCTACCTGTGTGTCTTTCTTATATGAATCAATTAGCAAAAATGCACATAACACAGATACGAAGGCGAAAACTTGTTACTTTACGTAAAGGGTTCCTTTTAAAACCATAGAAATTTACGGAAATGAAAAGAGAACGGGCTACAGTGGGCACGTGGGGGGAGTTTGAATAACCGAATTTGTAAAATTTTCTCTTTCAAAATATATCGTATTTTTACTTAATAATAACAGTTCAACATTAATTAAAAAAAGCATCTCCTTCACCTAATTAAATACACAAATGCTCTTAACTCTACAAATATTATCTATACATGTATTGCCAATTCCCGTATTTTTATTACATTTAATTAACCAAAGCCAAGAACCAAAATTATTTCCTTCAAAGTACCGTTGATCCACTTTCTAAATCCTTAACTAATAATAGGCTGGAAACGGATGATAATTTGATGGGTTGGAAGCATGATGATTAGCGGAGGGTAAGACCGGCGGTCGGACACCGGGATGATAATTGCCCGAAGCTACCTGATGATAGGCGCCAAAGCCTCGAGCCATATGGCGATTTTGTGCAGATTCGCCCAATAAACGCGACTGGTCGGGACCGAGTAAACGATTATTTTGTTCCATAAGTAAATGAGCTGTAGGATCAACCAGTAAGCGATGTTGATCAGCAGCATTTGAAGCTGCCAAGATACGATGCTGTTCAACGGTTGACAGTAAACGATGATGCTCAAGACTTTCGCGACTTTGATGCTGCATTTGTGATGAAAGAAATGATCGGTTATTGCTCACCGACATGTTTGTATTAGGAGTCAAATCTAGCGATGCCATACGTAACATGTCATGGTGTGGATGATTATACGGCAGTTGGGGCGGGGATGGTACCACATAGTTAGCGGTTCGACTTAGATCTACCGAAGTAGTTTGATCGTGTTCCGGTTCGCTAAGCTGATCAGACAACATACTATGCATGGCCGATTGATGTTGCTGCATAGCCAGTTGACTAGAATGCTCTTGTTGCTGATGTTGAGCTGCTGCTGCCGCTGAACTATGATGTTGTTGTTGTTGACTTTGAGCCTGACTACTTTGATTTTGCTCCCGCTCGGAAAGAATATCGTATATATGATGATGATAACGACCGATACCAGGAAGATTGGCTGGATTATTGCTAGGCAATTGAAAGTTGTGATGATAATTTGAGGAGCTAACATTGGAACGCGATGACATATCAAGACCTTGTAAATCTGACATGTCGTTATTAGCAGTTGCCGCTGTATTCGTATTACGATATTCTGCGGGTGAATCTACACCTTGACTATTGTACTTGAGCGCTGCCGAATTTGCAAGACTTTCGTATTTAGAATACATTAAATCCATCTGAGGCTGAGAGAATTTCATACGCATGTCCTGACCTGCAGAGCTGCTGAAAAAGATTCAATTAAATTTTAAAACAAATATACTCGATACGCTCAAGACTTCATCCACTTACCTATTTTGTGGCATAATACTATTCTCCTCATCGCTCGACATGTGACTATGACCTGTTCCTAGATTTTGTCGCCTATCTGTTTCTTGATCCGCTCTTTGTTTATGACGCAGTATGTCGCCGTTGTTAAAATTATAGCGAGGTATTGAAGGTGATGAAGCCGGTGAAATTAGTTCATGTTCTGGATACGTACTGCTCACGCTAGAAGCAGTACGTCTTTGGGCCTGAGCCATCGTTGGTAAAGGTGAAGACGCTGATATGTTATTTGTGGTGCTATTACCACCCGTGCTGTGACCACTACCTGAACTACCTCCTGTACCCGGGCCACCAGGAGTGCCATTGGAACCATTATTATTACTAAACATCCCGTAATCTCGACCTGGCGAAATGGGTTGAGGTGTAGGTGGGGTTCTATGCTGTGCCGCAGCATAACCATCAGCTTCCCTCACACTACCACCACCGCTGCCAAGGTGCTGTGGTCGTGGGGTTGATCCGGCATCCACATCAACATCATTATTTTGATTGCTCCGTGGATTTGTGGGCGTAGAAGCAGTTGGCGATATATTGCAGGAGCTAAGACTATTGCCTGAGTTAGGAAACATTGGCAGTGGAGGTATTTGCATGGGGAAACTATTTAAATTTTTCATCATTTTCAATTCACTCTCAAGGTTATCCATTGGATTGTTGGCACTAAATCTGTTTGATTCTGTATCGACATGAGAGCTCATTGGACTGTCAGTGTTGATATTATTGTCGGTGGGAACCTTGCAATTAAAAAAATAATAAAAATTTTTCCACCAAATGTTATGTTTGGGCAACAAACAATTTTTACCTTTAACTCGTTATTTTCTCCATCGATTATATTGCCGACGGAATTTAGCGCGGCTTCAACAAGCATACTTGCCGATGAAGACGATCCAGCTGTAGCACCGCTCAGTCTTGCATTTGCGTTGTTATAAAATGAATTCATAAATGATTGGGTATGTGTTAATGAGTTCATGGCCATTTCGCTGCCTTCACCTTGTGCCGAATTCGATCCAGTGCCCTGATTAATTGTCGCAGCAGTATTATTCGCTTCAGCATTGCTGCCGGCGCTATTAGACCCTACAGCAGCATTGTTAGAATTATTGGAAGCATTATGATGATACTGCGACATCGATCCGTTGGCACCGTTGTTATTCGATTCAACAACATCTAAGAATGAAGAATTTTCATCTTCTTCTCGGGTATTTCCAGCGTGATGATTATGACCGGAATTAGCCGAGTTTATAAGGCGTGACAAGAAGTCCCGATTGGAGCCCATTAATTTATTCGGATCTTCTGTGTTATTAGATGGTACTACGAAACCTGGTATACCAATTTCATTTGCTCCCCCTTGATTCATACCGCAGGCATTTGCGCTCCCGCTCATCGTTCCACTCCCTACTTGGCCGCCACTTAATGCACAACGGTCTACAACTGGTGGGCAGTCCCTTGTCAAATGGCGATCGTCGCCACTGATCCATTTTTTACTACCTTTACTCACAACCAAATTCTGCCCTAAGGCATTCATGCCAGGATGGTGACGATAATTGTTATTGTCATGTGGCATCTGTTGAACTCCTTGCTGGTGATGGACTTGTTCATCGTCATCTTCTTCATCTTCCTCTTCTTCTTCATCATGGCCCATGCTCGCAGACTGATGCTGATGTGTCATACCCATATGTTGATGGTTAAGTCCGGGCATCATATGCATCTTATTTGAATCATCTGTCGCCCCGCCAGCCATTGCCGAAACAGCTGCTGCGGCAGCCACCACCTGTTGAACTTGGTGCTGTGCTGTTAGACGATGAGCTGTGGTTGTCAAGAATGATTCTACCAGACTTAGTTGGGCGTTTTGTTTACGCCTCATTTGCTCCATGTGGTCGTGATCATTTTCATGCTCATTCAAAAGATGGTGATCCTTACGTTTACGTCCTCGCTTCTTGGGTGCAGGTTTCTCCCCAAATATACTAGAAATTTTCGATGACAATAACGAAAGGTTTGGTTCATTCCTGCATAAGTCCTTAATCGATTTGCCAGACTTTTTAATAGCTTCGAATATATTATCATCGGAAAATTCAGTATCACTTTGTATGCTTGAGCTCATAACTGAATTTTGGTCCTCCAAGCTTTTACGTCTTCGCCGGGGAGCTTGCTCTGTATTATTGAACAAAAGTAAATTATTGTTAATAATATTAAAGCAATCTTCAACCATTAAACTCACCCAGGAAGTCAACTTTCATACCACCGGAATATGCATCGAACGTGTAAGCAACACTTCTCTCAATTTTAGGCATTTGTTCTTGTGTATAGTTATGAACTTTTTTATAATGAAATTGCAAACACTGCTTGGTGGTGAAAGCCGCATTACACTCTGGCTCGGAACATCTAATAATCGGAATAGAATATTGAATTTCTTCAAATACTTTCTGACTGTAAATGATGAGCACTTACTTAAATGGTCTGACACCGGAATGAGTAAGCATATGAATCTTTAGGTTACTACGGTTTTGGAATAGCTTCTGGCATCTGGGACAACTGACCACAGTTGAATTGCGACTGTGTACCTCCTTGGCGTGACGCTGCAATGCTGCTCGCGATCCTAGAAGTTTTGAACATAATTTACACTGAAAATCTCGTAAAACTTCAGCCATATCTAAAATGAAATTCATGAAGAAAACAAAATTTTGGATAGTGGCGATTTTGAATAAACGAAATCATAAAATTAAATAGAAGAAACTTAAAAAAATAAAATAAAATATAACAAAACAAGAAAAACATAATGGGATAACCTTAGTAGTATTTTAAGATGAGATACCCAACAGATTTGTACCACGCAACATATCAACAGATGCTTATCCTTCACGAAAAAGCAGATCTTTTCAAAAGATGTCCACGAATAACAATCAGCAACAATTTTGAAACAAATTATTTTGGCACTCATATCATTTCGATAGATTTGATATTGAAAAATCGTTAAAAATCCACGGTTTACAAAACTTCCCAATCCATGGGCAGACATCATATTGCAGACGTATTCCAAACTTTCTCAAACGAAGTGTCATGCTGTTAATGCAATCAATAAAGCTGGCTTGCACATACATATAATAATTATAAGGATAAAAGTAATGAACGCAAAATTAATGAAATCATATACGCAAGAATTATAATTTTAATGAAAATTCATCCAATTTTTTCTAAGATTCGAAAGTTTTAAAATAAATCTTAAAATAAAAATAACGAAAGAGTTATAGAAATGTTTATGTGATGAAAGTGAAGTTGATGATATATTATAATTATAACAAG